GAATTTAATGTGGGGGAAGTGTGAAGTTATTCACCTAGGTAGCAAAAGTAGAAAAACAGATTATTTTCTAGAGGGGGAGAGATTAGATAGTGTTAGTGTTCAGAGGGATTTGGGTGTCCTTGTACACCAGTCTCAAAAAGTTAGTTTGCAGGTGCAGCAAGCAACTAAGAAGGCGAACGGCATGTTAGCGTTCATTGCAAAAGGTTTAGAGTACAAGAGTAGGGAAGTTTCTTGCTGCAACTGTATAGGGCCTTGGTGAGACCGCAACTAGAGTATTGTGTGCCGTTTTGGTCTCCTTATTTAAAAAAAATACTTGCCCTAGAGAGTGTGCAGCGTAGATTCACTAGGTTAGTTCCTGGGATGAGGGGACTGACCTATGAGGATAGGCTGAATAAACTAGGGCTATATTCTCTAGAGTACAGAAGAATTAGGGGAGATCTTATTGAAACATATAAGATTCTTAAAGGGCTGGATAAAGTAGACGTTGAGGGACTGTTTCCCCTGGTAGGAGAATCTATAACCAGGGGTCACAGTCTTAAAATTAAGGGTCAGCCTTTTAGAACAGAGTTGAGGAAACATTTCTTCACTCAGAGGGTAGTGAATTTGTGGAATTCACTACCCCAGAAGGCTGTAGGTGCTCAGTTCTTGAACATCTTCAAGGCTGAGATTGATAGATTTTTTAAAAATAGAGGGATTAGGGGATATGGGGATTGGGCAGGTAATTAGAGTTAGGTCTGAGGATCAGCCATGATCTTATCAAATGGCGGGGCAGGCTCGAGGGGCCGAATGGCCTACTCCTGCTCCTAATTCTTATGTTCTTATAAATCCCAGTTAAACAATCTGTTAAATGCTTGAAAGAATCGTGATTTTTAAGCAAGTAGTAGCTCAGGAATTGAGCTGTGGGGTACATATTTATTTTGAGTTAAATTGGATGATTGGATGGAAGTATTATTCACTCTGTACCATACTCTGTTTCTAATTGTTAAACAGATGAATTCTGTGTAATCATTTGTAAGAAGCTTAACTTGTGGCTCAGTGCTGGAGCAATGGAATCTGTTGAGTCCAGGCTTTTTAGGTCAGGAATGGCAAATAGATTTTTGAATGATTTAACAATTAGGTTAAAGAGGGAACTGCACTCTGTTCCAAAAATGAGAGTCTTTAATATTCTGGAGTGTAACATTAGATTTCATGATTTGATTGCCAGTAGGTACCAATAATCTCTTTCCTGTGTTGTATTCCAAATATCCCCAAGAGGCTTATATCCCATTAAAGAGATCACAAGGTAATCTGAATGAAGAAGGCCCCTTGACCCAGATGATTGCACCTTCCAGGATACAAATCCTACTGTCTTCCCAAAACAGTAAACGGAATTAAGCTGTTTCTTAATTATTCTGCGAGCCCTGACCTCAGCCATCCTTCTTAGCAACCTGTTCCAGCTGTTAATTAATAGCTATGTAAAACATTGTTGCTGTAGATGAGCAAAATTCCACTGAGTCTTAGCCTGTTTCGGCCTTAAAACTTAAGATTGGGCAGAATTCTGGAAGATTCTCACATTGTCTTAATTTGAAAGTTTTTCAGAACTTCTTCTAAAACAGCTTCTAAAGGAAGAACTGAATTTAAGAATTTCCCACAATTCTGCGCAATCTTAAGTTTTAAGGCAAAGTGAATTTGCCTGTAGACTGGGCAGAATGTGAAGCCTCCGGTGTCTATGTTACAGTTGGTTGAAGGGATTAAGTATCTATGGGGAGCACCAGAGACAGGAGAGAGTGGTGCTGCTGTCATTCACGTGTCACTCTGTGCTCAATGGCACTCATCGGCAGTGTAATATGACATTAAAAATAAAATTTTGTTTGATTTTGCTATTACTTGAGTTTAATTTTCAACAAGATTATAATAAGCCCAGGAGTGACTTTAACACTTCCCATGTTTTTATGTGAAGTAGGCTGTCACCTTGCTCATTTCAAGTCTTCCCACTCTCTTGAAAATCCCATTAGCAGGAATTAATGTCAGGAATTATGGAATAGTGGTATGACGCCAACAATCATAAATCTTAATAACCTGCTACAGAACCACTTTAAAATATGCAGGCGAATGATGCACTGGATCTCTAAATGTTAAAAATAAATGTTAGCTGTAGCTGTAGCCAGGCACTATACATCTGTGTTCAATTCTGTCCACATCCCATTGATTTAAAAATGTATCATGTCCTTATAATATTTACAGTTACTTTGAGTCACACAGCCAGAGACTGAAATTAGCCCCTGACAAGTTACTGCAATTTATTGTTTGAGCCTTTTCAACTAAAGTGTGGAAACCCAGTTCCATAACGTGAATCATTTATGCAACTGAGATCTCATTGATTATAAAAGCATACTCAATGCTTTATACCTTCACACCGCTGGTTTCATAGCAGTGATAAATTGAATTCAATCATGTCACAGTCATTAAAGGGGAAGTGCATTGTAGTGAGCTGCCGCATAACCTTAATTGTTATCAAGGGAGTTATTGTGCGCTTGGTAATCGCATGTCGACATGCTTCATGCTTTGAAGCTGCTCGCTCACTGCAGCCTCTGGGACAGATTTGTTTTCTTGATCACCCCTTATATAACTGTGAAGATTCTTCACCATGTTACCGTCAGAGTGATGTTAAAGTCAGTGTTATGTTCACAGTCAGTGACACGATTACAGTCAGTGACACAATTACAGTCAGTGACACGATTACAGTCATTGACACAATTACAGTCAGTGACACGATTACAGTCAGTGACACAATTACAGTCAGTGACACAATTACAGTCAGTGACACGATTACAGTCAGTGACACAATTACAGTCAGTGACACGATTACAGTCAGTGACACAATTACAGTCAGTGACACAATTACAGTCAGTGACACGTTTACAGTCAGTGACACGTTTACAGTCAGTGACACAATTACAGTCAGTGACACGTTTACAGACAATGACACAATTATAGTCAGTGACACGATCACAGTCAGTGACACGATTACAGTCAGTGACACGATCACAGTCAATGACACGATTACAGTCAGTGACACGATTACAGTTAGTGACACAATTACAGTCAGTGACACAATTACAGTCAGTGACACACTTACAGTCAGTGACACAATTACAGTCAGTGACACGATTACAGACAATGACACAATTATAGTCAGTGACACGATTACAATCAGTGACACGATTATTACAGTCAATTACATGATTGCAGTCAGTGTCACGATTACAGTCAGTGACAGGATTACAGTCAGTGTCACGATTACAGTCAGTGACACGATTACAGTCAGTGACATGATTACACTCAGTGACATGTTTAGTCAATGACACGATTACAGTCAGTGACACAACAACAGTTAGTGACACGATTACAGTCAGTAACACGATACAGTCAGTGACACAATTACAGTCAGTAACACAATTACAGTCAGTAACACGATTACAGTCAGTGTCATGGTTACAGTTAGTGCTCACACTAACATTCTTCACAGGGAGAAAAATAGTCGAGGAAGCTGATTTTCTGTGGTTCTCTTGGGGTAATGAGGACAATTTTTTTTCAAATTAAAAGTGAGTTTAAGACTTTTGGAAAATTCTGCACAATCTTAAATTTTAAGACAATGTTCTTAAAACTGTGAGAAAGTTCAGAGCTGAGGATTCTTGAAGCCTGAGTTACCCATTTCTGAACATCAAGCAGTAGTTAATGATCGGCATTAATATTGCTCTGATTATTCCTGCCTTTCTCTTAGTTTAAAGAATATACATCTTTATATTGTGAGTTCTAATGATAGTGCAGAGGAGCTGGCTTGAAGGAGTCGTTGAACTTGACAATGCGAGGGAATCAAGTTAACATTAGTAGAGATATCAGCCTCGATTTTGCTGGGTGGATGGTCACAGCTCACCACAAGTCGAAAAAAGTTACAATATTCAAGTTACTGGCCTATTATTTTTCTAATTTTCTCCCCTCATCCCCTCATGCGTGGGTGTAGTTCCACTGGCATTGGTTGTCCACTGGTAACCCCCATCGTGGCCATTGTTCATAGGTGAGCCTTTGGCAGTGAGTGTCGGCAAGCCACACAGGAACCCCAGCTGTTTTTACCCTCCCAAACTGTGGGAAGGCTGGCATCAATTTAGCCTCCCCCATGCAACTCCAGCTGAGAGCAGCAAGCTCCTGGTCTGTAGGCTGTAGCTTTAACCAATACACAATTGGAGCTGCCCGCCAAGCTCATTTTGTTTCATGACAGAAATGGCTTTAAATGGAAATGAAAGGGAAGGACACACAGAAACGTTCATAGCAGAACACTTGCTTTTCATGATTCAATATTGTTCTCGCTCTCTCAGATGTGAACTCACAGCCGTAATTCTGCCCAATGAGGACACAATGAAGTAGGCTCGACGGGCTCAATGTCTGCTCATGTTCCTATTTTCTTATGAGAGATATCTGTGCGGAATGTGGTGATAGACAGGTAGAACAGGACATCTGTAAGAGGCTTTGGGCCAAACCACTGATGTGAAATGAAGGGGGAAGGGAGGTTTTACACCTAAACCAGTCGATAATTAAAGACTGATTTTGATTGCAATTTCTGCTATCTGCTAAATGTTAAATCATTCCCCCCCCCCATAGAATATTTACAGCTTAAAAGGAGGCCTTTCAGCACATCATGTCTGTTGTGATGCTCGCTCTCTCACTTTTCACAACACCTTTAATATTTAAAACTATTTTGAACCATGTTTTTTGTTTGTAAAATTGCTGTAGGAATAGATATTTTGCCATCAACAATGAATTTATGAAATCTATCTACTTTTTAACTGTAACTTTCAAATTTAAACCGTAGAAAACGTGGGAGATATATTAACTCTAATAATCTATCGGTGAGGACCGCCTTATCTCAGACACCACTGCATTGCAGTGTTTATGGAAGGACATCTGCAGGGATGGGGTGTCCTAGGAGCTGGAAGTTCACACGTTATCACATTTCTTTACAGACAGCGAGAAGCCTCTCTTGAAAAACCACCATGATCAGCGGTCACAGGCACCATGGGGCACCACATTGGAGACTTCCAGAACAAACAAAGATGTCATAGAAGACATCAACTCTCCAGAACAGTAAGTAGCGCACCAAGCACATTCTCTCAATGCAACCCAGATCTCAGCCGGTATTATTAGAGCATTAAAAGGAATAATCTAACCAGATCTTATCCCACAAAATCATTATCTATTTTTACATAAATCCACTTTGTTATTGGTCTTGTTATCTTTAAACCTATCTCAAACCTGCTCTTCCTGGCCAAAGTTACAGAACGTGTTGTTGCAAATCAACTTCACTCACACCTCTCCCTCCAATCCCCACTTGAACCCTTCCAGTCTGTTTTTCGCCCACAGCACAGAGCCACCGCTCGTCAAGGTCACAAAGAGAGAGGAAAGTCACAAATGACGTCCTCTCTCTTTGTGACCAGGTCTCCCTCTGCCTCCTCCTTCTCCTAGATCTTTCTGCCAAGTTCAGCATAATCGATCACGCCATCCTCCTCTACCACCTCTCCTCCCTCTTCTACATTAGCGGGACTGCACTTGCAAGATTCGAGTCCTGCAAGGCAAAATGTTGGGCAAGTTTCCTTACTCGATACGCCTCTGATTACTCAAGCATATGTAGGAACCCAGTTGTTAGGCGATTGGCAGACAGCTTTTCCCGGGGTAATAATCCCTTCAAAAAAAAGCAATAATATCATAAATCTCTCCCTGTCCACTGGCACTGTTCCCAACCTATTAAAAAAACGCTGTCATCACTCCTATCCTTAAAAAACCTACCCTGGACCCATCTCTACTCCCCAACTACCCCCATCTCCAACCTCCCTTTCCTCTCCAAGGTCCTGGAATGAGTTGTTGCTTCCCAGTTTCACTCCTTCTTCTCCCGCCACTCTCTTCATGAACCCCTCCAATCGGGTTTCCCTGCCAATCACAGTATAGAAACAGCCCTGGCCAAAGTGATAAATGACATTCTGTCCATCTGCGACCAGGGTTCCCTCTGCCTCCTCAGCCTCCTTGACATCTCTGCTGCCTCCGACACCATCGACCACTCTATCCTCATTCACTGCCTCTTCTCTCACCTCAACCTTCACAGGTCTGTCATTGACTGGTTCAGATCATACCTCTCACACCGTCTCCACTTCATCTCCACAAACGGCTTCTCCTCTAGCCCCCGCACTGTCTCGTGCGGCGTTCCTCAGGGCTCTGTCCTTGGTCCCCTCCTCTTCAATATCTATATGCTCCCTCTTGGTAATATCATCTGCAGACATGGGGTCAACTTCCACATGTGTGCGGATGACACCAAACTCTACCTCGCTGCTTCCACCCGTGACTCCAGGACCACTGCTGTCCTGACAGAATGTGCGTCAGACATCAAGTCCTGGATAAGAGCTAACTTTCTTCAGTTGAACATCAACAAGACCGAGGCTCTCCTGATCGGCTCCCGTCAGAGCCTCCACACTCCACCTTGCTAAGCCAGTCCGTAACCTTGGGGTCTTGTTTGACACTCAACTATGCTTTCTACCCCACATTTGTGCCATGACCCGCTCTGCCTTCCCCCACCTCCGCAACATTGCCCGGCTCTGCCATCATCTCACACCCAAGCCACCAAAACCCTCATACATGCATTCATAACATCGAGGCTTGATTATGCAAACTCCTTGCTTGTCGGCCTCCCCAACTTCACCCTCCGCAGGCTGCAGATCATCCAGAACTCTGCAGCCCGTGTCCTCTCATACATAAGGCTCCATGACCCTATCAGCCCCTTCTTCGCCCGACTCCACTGGGTTCCCATCACACAGAGGATACAGTTCAAGATCCTGGACTTCACCTTCAAAGCCCTCTATGGTCTTGCTCCCCCCTATCTCTGCAACCTCCTAACCCCCTACCATCCTGCCCACTCCCTCCTCTCGACGGGTTCCTGCCTGCTTCACATTCCCCACCTTGCTGTCCCCACCATTGGCAGATGGACCTTCTGCCATTCTGCCGACACCCTCTGGAACTCCATCCCGCAGTCCCTCCGCCTCTCCCCTTCCGTTGCCTCCTTCAAGACCGTGCTTTCAATTACCCTGCTTCCCCTCCTGCCCTCCATCCTCCCTGAACCCGACCCCCAGCTCGGGTCCAAAACTCTGACGGTCCAGCGCCTTGGGACGTCCTTCTGACGTGAAAGGCGTTATACAAATGTAATTTTGTTGTTTTTATTGTAATAATTTGGTCACTCAATCCACATTGTGGGACACTGCTGTGCAATTGGCTACCTCGTTTCGCCCACAAAATATACAGTCAATTCACTTTACAGTATATTCTGTGAAGCCCTTTGAGATGTCTCAATGACATGATAAGGCGCTATATCAAATGCAAGAATTATTATTACTTAACAAACCCCCAACAATACATCTTGCCAAATATTTTTTCCTCCCAAATCTACTTCTCCTCTCCAGCAGCAACTCCCAGTATGATGATGTTCTGTCAGCTTGTTTGACGGACAGCAACAACAACAACTTGCACTTACATAATGCCCTCCATGCAGGATAGCGTCTCAGAGCGTTAAAATATGATGGAGCCTGACTCCGAGCTGGGGGAGCTGGCCGTAAGCATGGTCAAAGAGAAAGGTTTTCAGGCGGGACTTGAAAAAGGGGAGAAAGGGGACAAGGTGGAGGGATTGAGGGAGAGTGTTACAGAGTTTTGGGGCGTAGTGGCTGAAAGCGCGACCTCCGATGGTGGGGTGGAGGGTGTGAGGGACAAGCATGAGGCCGGTGCCAGTCGAGCGGATCTAAACTCCTCAACCTCCCTGGGCTCTCCCTTACACTTACCGAACCAGTGAGCAATCCAGGGGTCCGGTTTGAACACCAGTTGTCCTTCCTCCCCCACATCCAGTCACTGACCAGGACCGCCTTCCTCCACCTCTGCCACATTGCCAGTATCTTTCCCCAAATGCTCCTGAAACCCTTGTGCATGTGTTTGTCACCTCCTGTCTGGATTACTCAAACGCACTCCTTGCCGGTCTCCCCAGCTCCACCATTCAAATGATCCAGCTCATTCAGAACTCTGCTGCCCACATACTAACCCGGACCAAACTCCGTACCCACATCTCACCAGTTCTGTCCAGGCTCCACTGACTCCCCATCACCAAACGGATCGACATCAAGATCCTCACACTTGTGTTCAATTAACCTTCACTCCCTGGCACCTCCCTACCTCTCCGATCTCCTCACTCCCCAATCCACCACCCTGTGCCTCCGTTCGACTGGCACCGGCCTCCTGCTTGTCTTTCGCACCCTCTGACCCACAATTGAGGTCACACTTTCAGCCACTAAGCCCTGAAACTATAGAACACTCTCCCTCAATCCCTCCGCCTTGCCCCCTCTCTCCCATTTTTCAAGTCGCACCTGAAAACCTTCCTTTTCAATTGTACTTACGGCCACCTCCCCCCCCACTCCCGGTTCGGAGTTATTGTTGTTGTATGATGGGGAGGTAGGAGAGGGAGGGGGAAGAAGGAATTTTTCATTCTCACTGAGTTTTAAACTCTAATAGATACAAATTCCATTCAGCGTTACACACCTCACCTTTCCAAGATCTCTGAAATGCTACCCTGCATTCGGGGTGCTATATAAATGCAAATTGTTGTTGTAATTCTTTGGCAATGTAAGACACTAATGGGATTTTGTATTATAACTGTGCATCACCACAATGATCACCATAATGATGAATGGAATTTTTAACCCCAAAGTGACCTGAATAGATTCAATTTGGTTACTTAATTAAATGCCAAATTTGGGAACCTCTCCCCCCACATCAGATGGCCCGTTTCTTTATGAACAGTGTCACACATTCAGACTGTCATGTATGATGCCCTTCTGTGCTATACACATCCCAACATTTGATTGAACCAACAGTGATAGATATTCGTAATAGGAGTCGTTGATAACAACTTTGAATTGCAAATAGAAACTCTTTCCGGCATCTGGAATTACATCATGCCAATCCATGAGACCTTCGCTCCAGCAGAACAGAACTCTTGAAGATTGATGTGACGCACTTCTGTTTACCAGAAAGAGATTTTGTTTGCAACACAGAGCTGTTATTTCCTGACGAGAAAGATGCTATACAAATGTAATTTGTTGTTGTTTTTGTTGTTATTAATATCTCTTGCTATGGATCACTCGGTGACTAACTACAACAAAAGGCAACTTATACTCATATAACATCTTGCACATAGGATAAATATCTCAAAATGTTTTACAATGACAATTATGAAGAGATGCCCGAAGGTATTAAAATGACAATGCAAAATTATTAATTGATTTTTTTACAGATAGAAAATATTGAATAATTATCCAGTTGTATGAGGGTTTCAGCTGCTCAAATAAAAGAGAGCAGGCCTTGCTCAGAGTGTTTGTGAGACAAATATTTGGAAAATAGTTTTCTTGATATTTTAAAATTGTGTAACTGTTGTTACATGTCAATTTAACATAATGAAAATTCTTAGAAGAAATGTTACAATGCGCAAAGCTACTGAATACAGTTTAAATTCTTTAAATGTTACCTGCTTCTGAGGCCACAATCTTCATGGTTTTAGCTCATAAGACCATCTTATTTAAGATCCTGCAGAATTGTAAAAATGTTTTAAATCCAATCTTAATTTGGGAGCCAGTTTTCCATTAGTACTTTTGGAAATATCGACTTTCAAATTATGACCGAATTTAAGAATTTCCAGAATTCTGTACAATGTCACATTTTAAGACAAAGGTCTCGGATGCATTACATTTCAAGCATTACAGTACAGCCAACTGATTGATTTCTTCTATTAATCAACTAACTGATTAATCATCAGTGCTGGTGCTCATCTAAGACTGCCCCGCCAATTATTTATGTTAATCAAAGAATTGGATCAAATTAGACTCAATTTGGGGCGATAAATGGTCCTGTTTGGTCACTGCTTGAGTTTCTAGTTCACTGCTAGGATATTCTCTGGTGTCCTATTTTCTTATGAAAAATAAGTTATTACAGAGCACCTGCGACGTGTGAAATGATCATCAACAGAATGAGAGCTGTTTTGACTGCATTGATTGTCCAGCTCCCTTCCTCCTTCAACAACTGTGTTTATTGGCATTAAGAACAGTAAGTGCAGACAATCAATTAGGGGACAGACTACAGTACAGAGTTACAGTCTTGAATGCACTTGAAGTTTCATTGGCAGCACTTACTGGGACATTTTCTTTGAACTGGCTTCAAATTAGGACCTAATTCAGTACTAAGATATCTGTATCTGTGATTTAGCATTTTGGAATCTTGCAGCTCTCTGCAAAACGTTCATTAGAGTGAATTATTATTATTGATTTGCAGTAAACAGATGAATTGGGGATACAGCAATAGGAAGATAATCAGTGTAAACAGTGAAGCCTCATTAATGATGCTTCCTTATTAACATCCAGGATTATAGAAAGATATTGCTGGCTGCTTATAATGAAATTCTTTCTTGCTAATGCCAGTTAGTTTCTCCGGTGCAGTTAGTGAACCGAACATTGTCAGTAAACTGGATATCCGTAAGATTCAAGATTAGTTTTGATGAAGAAGGCCCTATGGCCCAACTGATCTCATCCTTTTAGAAAACCCTCTTCCTATCTTCCCATCACAGTATCAAGCTACCGTTTTTTAATGAGTCCAGTGCCCTGGCCTCAACCACCCTGCTGGCAACCTGTTCTAGTTTTAATTACTGGCTTGGTAAATAAATACTTCCTGGTGTCTGTCCTGAAATTGCTCTTTGCGTATCTAAATTTACGTCCTCTTGTTTTACACTCTTGGTACATCCTTGAGTAGTGTTCTGGGTTTACTTTTTCAATCCCATTTAAAATGTTATATACCTTTATAAAGTCTACTCTGAATCATCTTCTCAGAAGAATCTTATCTTGTCTAATCTAATCTCTTTATCCTCTTTCTTGCAGTATACAACGCAGACTGTCTTTGCAGCTACCCATTCTTCATCATGCCTACTTGCCATCGATAGGTGGAGTCGATGCAAGTTGTGCCAGTCCGTGTGTTAGTCCCAATGCCAGCCCTCGGCACAGACATGTCCAGCCGTCATTTCGAGTCATGGTTTCCGGGCTGTAAAGAAAAGGCTTGCAGCCTGAACTGATGAGTACTCAGCATTTGGACTGTGTACCCCACCTAGTTCTCTGCTACGTACACGATGCACGCTCTCCATACCACAGAGGAATAGGCATTTGAAACAGACACAACTGGGTTCCTGAGCCAGCTTGTGTGGTCTGAGAGAGATGCCCTGAATCTGACCTGTAGCCTTATCTGTGAAGTTTTTGTTTCTGCATAAACTGGATGTATGTTTCCTTCCCAGAAAGAGTGATGGGTTTTCTTAAGGAAGCAGGGACTGTCGTTTTATCGAAACTGCACAGTTTATTTTACATGCCACAATCAATAGAGGGAGACAAAATGTGAGTTGCTATGCAAAATCTAATGTATAAATGCAGGTTCACAACCAACATAGAAACTAAAATTTAAATTTTGGCGTAGAAGCAAATATTGTCACCATTTCTGCACCGGCACACGCACCAAATGTATTCTCTAATAGACCAATAAGCAAAATGTTGTAGTGGAGAATGGAGTTCTGTAATAAATATATGTAACATGGGAGTGCGGATCTTCTATGGAAACATATAATTTGGTCAGAAAGACATATACAAATAAGTCACTGGGGTCTTTTGAACATGACACCTGAGCAGTATATAGATTAATATAGAAGTGAACTAATTGTCAGCTTTGATCAAAGGTGATTTGTGTCACCTGAAAGTGTTCTGCTTGTGTTCACACTTGTCTACCTTTTGTGCTACACTCTATCATTTGCTGGTGTGAGGCATTGATGACTTCAAGTTCTGGTACGCATTCTTAGTGTTAAAGCCTGGCATTGCCTTGTGGTTAAACTAAATAATGGTCCTCAATGGTAACTGTGTCAATGTGGTCACAGACATAGTTTGGAAGTAACAGAAGAAGTGGACAATCAATAATGAACTTTGTTACTCTGTGTTCTGTTTTTTGTTCACTACTTAAATTTATCAAGCTTGGATTCTCCCATTGTATATACACACCATCAGGGTTAGTATATTTACCAGCAAGCGGAGAATAACCCTCATTAAGTCTACCTCTGTCTCCCTCAGTATATTCATTCATGATTACCTTGGTTAACATATACCATGACAGCTTGAAGAGCAATTCACTGTTCACACTGATTAAGTATAGGAACAGAAGAGGACATTCAGCTCACTGAAGAGATCATTCAGCCTATTGAGCCTGTTCTGCCACATTAATAGATCATGGTAGATCTTTTTATTCTACTTCCTGCTTTTCTCCCTCAATACCCTTCTAAATATCAATCCATTTTCCTTTTAAACATCCTAATGGGTTCTGCATACTACCTTCTGGGCAGTGCATTCCACATTCTCATCAATGAAATGAGTGACGTAGGCAGACATGGGCAGATATTATTATCTGCTAATCTAACAGGTTGGAAGCTGTAACACCACCCCCCGCCACACACACACACACACACACACACACAAGCTAATTGGATTTCTTTAAATCCAAAGGTATGATATGGGAAATTCAAGTGTAGGCTGTGAGCTACAGTACAATTGTTAATACAATTAACAGGTGTCAACAGAAGTGATAAGAAGCATTTGAATATTGAAGTAATATTTATTGCTACTGACTTAATATTTGTATATAACGTAAATTGACATTTTGATCACGTCCAAAACCCCCAGTGAAGTGCAGGTATACACTTTCCTGAGAGACAATTTCACATTTCAGTCAAGGTAGTAAAATCCTATGTTCATTTGTTCCAAAAGAGCATGCTCAGTGCATTGATTCACCGGTCATAATAAGCTTCCAAGTACCGTTGTGAAGACATGTTTTGTGGTATCCTGAATGGTGACCTTGGCTGTTAATGTATTTCCCTGCCTCCTTAATTCAACTTTAACCAGGTTTATTTCTGAAGACACCAGATCATACGGAAGGAGGACTGAATACTGTATATAATGTATACACACGTTCTCTGTAGAAATATTATTCTAACATAGCAGGAAAACAAACAAAAAGTATTGACTGTTGGAGGTGAGCGTGTGTGTGTCTGTGACTGTCTGTGAATACTGACTGTGTGCAGTTTATTAGGTTTAAACCATGCAGTACATTTCTCTGTCTTAATGATACAGTAGTTATTTCCCATAAGGAAATATTTTTATTTCCTGCAAATATCAAAGACCCACAAAGTAATATAGTTATTTAATGTTTCTGTTCTTTTATACAGCAGCAAAAAAAAGGGTAAACTTATGAGGAGGCTGTGCCCTGACGGCATTTTCCAAATCATATTAGTGCACAAATGCTTTAAACTATACTGGAACTGCCAGGATAAACTGTAAATGAACAGAAGGTTTCTTGTACCCTTATACTGCATGAATTTTTAATAAATTGTTGCAAATCTGTTTTTATGAATAAAATACAAAAACTCACGATTCTTGTATTCTTCTGTCATGTGGAATAAACTGACTTGACATACCTGAGAGGTGTACACTGGGTTCCTCTTCCTGGCCAGACAACAGCATTGGGGAAAGCCAGTGGATGTCATGTTTACGTCTGAAAATTATGCAGCAATTTGATTGATACCTGTATATCCAGAGGTTAACGATACAATTCACCATTGGTGCATTTTTTTGTACCCTTTTCATGGAAAATCCTTAAATTCAACCTGAATTTGGAAGCTGTTTTTTTTTGCAGTTATTAAAAAGTGTGTTGTAAATTTCAATCAGGATACTAAGTGTAGTAAAATTCAAACTCAATTTAAGAATTTTTGACAATTCTATACATTATTTAAGACAAAATTATCTTACAGTCTAAGACTAGGTGAAATTAGTGCAAAGATCCAGAATTTCAGACAGGTAACACCAAATCTCACTCAGAATGAATTTAATCTAAGAGTATGAGTCATATTGCTTGGCTGGAAATATGCAGAATGTTAGAGATATCCCAATGCAGATGAACAAACATATGGCCAGGATCATTTATTACCTGCTGAATGTTCTCAGCGACTTCTGTTTTTGTTTCAGATTTCCAACATCTGCAGCATTTTGCATCTTTTTTTATATGGAAAAAGCTGTTTATAAGGAAATGTACGTTTGATTTGTACATTAATTATGGATTGATTATTCATTATCGAAGATGTAGCATGGCTTGTGCTATAACCTTAACCTGTAGTAGAGCAGAGTGACATATGTGATCCAGATTGTTGTTGTTATAGTTTCAAGCTTGAATACACCGATTTCTAGCTAGATCTCAATGGGGTAATACTTCTTTTGTTCCTATGATAGGGGAGCTATGTATTTTCCTCATGCCACTGTGGTTAGAGCTAATAATTACTCAATTGAGTGAATAGCTACAAACAGAGTTAGCATGGACCTCTGCTAATTTATCAGTCTGCTCTCAAAAGCAGAAAATATTATCAGCATATTTCAGAATGCAGATTAACAATTCAATACAACAACAATACAACTTTGTATTTATATAGCGCTTTTCACATCAGGAGAATTTTCCAAGGGTCCTTGGACAAACTATGATTATATACAATAACAAAATTACATTTATAGAGCGCCTTTCATGTCGTGAGGACGTCCCAAGGCGCTACAAGATTTTAAATAAGATTTTAATATGAAATCATATTGTGAAACAAGCACCAGGCTAATAATAAATAACAAAAATATTAATAAATACATTTAAAAACATTTTTGGTCAGTTGTGTGTCTCACATACGCAGAAACCATCCCTATGCTTAAGAGTATCCAAACCAAACTGAGAATTTCATGCATCTCACCTACACATGGAAATCCCAGAGATGGAATGGAATGGACACTCTCTCCCTAGAAGGATGCATCCTGCTTACCGAATTCCGCAAAGGATTAGGCGCAGGTTGGCAAGAGTCAAGGCTTGGGGACACAGTGTGCGTTGGGGTACTGCTGGAGTCTAACCAGCTAAAACCATGTAGCATGCCATTGATAGCACTATCTGACAAGCTTTCTGATTGCTTGTCTAGCTAGGCTTTGTCTTGCATTGTAAATAGAAGCTGAGTGGGATGATTCCCTTCCCCAGTGACTGGTCTGCCCTTCCAAGAATTCAATCAATGTACTAAAGTTTGTTTTACAGACTTATGCAGACATAGGTAGGTAATAACCTCAATCATTTTTGATACAGAACAGAGCTCTGCATGGAATTCAAGAAGATTCATTAGATTTGTTCAGTATAAAAATGTAAGGCCATTTGAAAATAGATGTCTCAGCAACTTCCCATGAGGAATAAGTCATCGTACAATATGAGAACATCAATCTGATGTAGACGAACAGAACTGAGACTGTAGCCAAGCACGCAACAGTTTTCCAAACAATCGTAATCTGCTGGTCTCATGAGGTACAATCATTCAGTAAATGGACCTGGCCATTTTCCCAATGTTGGAGACCCAGATCACCTTTGTTGGCATTTTGAGCTGATTGGCCATCTTTGTGATTATTCTCTGGGACCTCCCCAAACCATACCAACCCGGCTACTCCCTTCACTCAGGAGCAGCTGGGTTGATATGGTTTTAGGAGGCCACAGATATGGGGTGAACACGTAGGCTTCATGTCCTCCACCCTATTTATCCCACCATCAGTGGTCAGGATTTCAACCTATCTGCCCCCACTCTGAAAGTCCATCCCAAAATCCCTCTGACTCACCTCCTCCCTCATGTCTTTCCCCTCGCAAACCTTTTGCCTCCCACTCCCACTGGGGTTCAAAACTGTCAAATACCTTGGGCTATCCCTAACGTGAAAGTTGCTGAATAGATATACTTGGAATTGTCTTGATACTACCAATCCCTACACAGTTGTATAGTGTTGTCCTTTCAGAGATGATCTCGTGGCACTATTCAGAAAGGGAAGGGAGGTTCTTGTTATACCCTGACAACAATCTCCCTGATACGATTGAGCATTAACTTTATGGCTGGTTGTGGGGCATTGCTGTGCACAAATTGAATGCTGTTTTCACCTACAAAATATAGTCACAATTTACATTAGTCGTGTGAAGCATTTGGAGGTGTGTAAAGACATGAAAGGAGCTATATCAAGTGCAAGGATTATTATTATTATTATTACATATCAAATAGTGTAAATGGAATATTAGACCCAAAGTTAAGCTGGTTGACTTAAGAAATCATAACATTTGCTTAAGGTTAGTTAACTTTTTTCTGCATAAATCTCAAGAAAGAGGGAACATTTACAGACAAAACTAGCTTCACAAATGCCATTATCTTGCTTTAGACAATCTTCAGTAAAAATGCCTTATTGCAATAACTGCCCGTATTTAAATTGGTTATTCTTAGGCTTTTTATTCATTTATGGATGTTTAATCAAGATGTCACCCCTTGTTAATAATAAGGTAATGGGAGAGTTCTGTGTTGGGTTGTCTGCATTTTAAATGTTTAAACAAATCGGAGAGCAAAAGAGTTCTGCAACCGTCATTCTGTAAACGAAGAAAAATTACAGTGCCTTTGAAGAAGAGAAAATACCATCCCACAAGGTCTGTGAATCAGAGCAATTTTATTGATTCAGCAAGAAAGCCTATTCTCATCTCATGTTGGACTCGTGAGAGTTTCTGACTAATATGTTGATGGACCCAAATTAGACCACTTCATGCAAATATCAAGCTGTGGATAATTAAGACTACTTGATCTAAGCAGTGAACATTTACCTGGCAGTGAACATTTATCCATCCAGGGCAGTGTCTTGCTGGAGCTTGGGTTGGGGAAGGCAGGAAGAAGGTAATTCCACTTCATATTTAGATGTGCTTGTGTTTTAAAAATACACACTTCAGGGAAGATTTTAATGAAGATTTATCAATGTTTGGGCTAGATTTTACTGTTATTGCAGAAACTATGTGCACTGGGGAGAATATTGTGTCGAATCCACAAGGTTCCTCTAAAGCGGCAGCATCAAAGGTAGGTGAGTTGAGGTGAATATATATTTAATAATCTATTTCTTTAACTGGGGGTAGGGAAAGAGAGAAAGACAAAAGAAGTGATATCTAATTCCTGGTATATTGATTGGAGTGAAATGGGGCTATGCAGTTTCTATTGAAACTCTTGTGTGTTGACACTCGGCAGAGTCAACTTATGAAGATAATTTCCCTAGTCTGCTTGACATTGTGTCACCCTGACGAGAAGCAAGGGCAAATGAGGTTTTGGAGACAGAATGCCGAACATTTTTTATTAACTAAAAAAATCTGATTTTGCTTTAGTAAAAAACAATAAATGGTAATAATGGTAATTACTGAGGCTGCCTCATAAATTTGTTTTAAAGGGAACAGATGGATCCTGAGATGGATCCTTGATGACGTGTATGTGGAGTGAGCACAGGCTAGAACTAAACTGGAGAATAATTGTGGTCAAAGAGAAAGACCAGCAAAGATACTAGTAGTGATATTAATGTGCTGGTCTTCAAAACATATTAAGCTTCAACTGCAAATTACCCAAAACTGATAACTGTGGACATGTCCTACAGCCTACTCTGAAGCTCAGCAAGAACAACATCTGCGCACCAGCTGATGAGTTTCATTACAGCCTGCTGGCACTACTGCTGTTACACCTGGTGTCCTTAACATTCAGAATATTGAGATAGCAGGTAGCTGTCTGTGAACTCCAGTGGCATCATGTTCTCACACCCATTCTCGGTATCTGCTTTAACAGGTCCAAATGCCTAATGTACCTCATTGCATTCACATTACTGCTCCTTAGCACACCAACATCCTGCTCCTTAGTATTCCTTGTCGAGATCCCGACTCAAGCCCATAGGAGTCAGACTTGTTAGGTAATGCGGAGAAGATATGTTCCGGATCAACTCTACTAGAAAGTGTGTACGTGCGGACATTGGATAAGGATGTGATTGAACTTATGATATCCTTCATCGTTGATAAAACTGAGTAATAATAATTATTTCTACATGTCAGTGAGTCAGTGTCAAGTGTGAATATTAAATAATGATAAAAGGAATTAAAAGAGATTACACAGAAAGTAGTTGGAATGGGAATTCTCTGTCACAGTCCATTGCTGAGGCTGTCTCATAAATTTGTTTTAAAGGGAACAGATGGATCCTGAGATGGATCCTTGATGACGAGTATGTGGAGTGAGCACAGGCTAGAACTAAACTGGAGAAAAATACCATTGCAGACTTGATGGGCCAAATGGTCTGTTTTTTATGATTCTAACAACACCTAAGTTCTCAAATCCTAACATCGAAGTTGTCACACTTTTCACACACAAAAAAGTAAATTTCATCCGATAGAGGTTTATTTCCCCTAGAGTTTGCATCGTTAAAGGCAAAGGGTAAAGGATTCCTAAAATGCTTCTGAATAGAACCCTTTTGGTTAAGAGCTGATGTGTCAGTTAACATTTGTTTATACATCCCTTAACCATCTGT